ATCAGATTGGATTGTTCCGGTCATGAAGTTTTGAACGCGCCGAACTTCTTCTCGAACAAGTCCAACTCCTTCCTCATTTCTGTTAGGGAGTCCCTATACTCTTCGACTTCTGACTCCTCCAAGTCTCCATTCTCGCAACTCCGCTCCGCCAACTCGACTACCGCTTCCACTGTCTTGACCGCCTCCTCATTTTGGCCCAGTCCTTCCAAGCTGACAGCAACAGAATAAAGACTGGCAATCGTGTGCGTATGTGCATCTCCGAGTACGTCCTTTCTCGCGGCGTGGACCTCCTTGAGCAAAGCGAACGAGGTTGAGTATCGGCCAATCGACTGCAGCGTGACGGCATGGTTATGAATCGTTTGTAGGGTGGTAGGGTGCTTGGGACCAAGAACATTCTTTTGTAACTCAATGGCCTTGACTTCCATAGCGAGCCCTTCGGTCTCCATCCCAGACGACCAAATGACACCAGCAAGACTGACAAACGCTGCAATCGTCTTTTCATCCGACTCGCCGTACTTGGCCGTAAGCTTTTCGACGATCTGCTCGTGGACCTCGCGCGCTTGGACCAGCTCACCGAGCTGAACGAGGATGATACCAGCGGCTTGTAGAGCTTCAACGACCTTTCCACATTCGGATCCTAGCATTTCTTGGTACCCTGCGACTACTTCTTCCAGTAAGGTTCTGGCTTGTGGGAACTGACTGGAGGCGCCAAGGCAGCTTGCTAGGTCAAAGGTTGATCGTAACGTTTGCGGGTGTTGCGGCCCTAGTGTCTTCTTCAACGTCTCGACGACTCTTCCTCGAACTTCAGTGGCCGATGGCACTTCGCCAATGGACTGCATAAATTGCGCATACTGTTCCATGATTCGTATACGATCCGGGTGGCTTTCGCTTAGGGAGGTTGAATAGAGGTTTGTGAGGCGTTGGTAGACAGCTTCTGCCTCATCGAGTTCTTCTAGCTCTACGAGGAACAGTGCTTGATTGGCCATGGCCAGGAACAGGTCACCATGACGCTTCTCTCTTGCCTCTTCTAGGCGTTGGTTGAGGGTAGCTTGCATATCCGAAGCATCGTCCTCTCTTCCCACCTTGTCAAATAGCAATATAAGGTGGGACAAGCAGAGCAACGTCCTGGGGTGGCCTTCTCCCAATTCGCCAATGCACTCGTCAACTACAACTTCAAACATGGCCACCATATCCTCCAGATTATCCAACGACTCGTTGACAGTTGACAAGTCAAACAAGCTTCGGATCGTCTTTTCGTGGGTCCGGCCAAGCTCGTCCTTTCGGAACCGGTAGACTTCGTCCAAGTGCATTTGGGCCTCTTTTTGTTCGGTGGCATCCAGCTCACGTAGCATCAACCCAAGCACACGCTTCACCTCCATCCGCTGGTGAACATCCGTGTGCTCGGTTATCATACTAGTGAGTCGTAGATACTCTCGCCCATGGTCGATCGCGTCCGTCCACCGCCCAATGACAAAGAGCATCATCATGAGCAAGCGAAGGGACTCTAGTGTTTCGGGATCCGCCTTGCCAAAAATGTCTCGTCGATTGTGGTAGATTGCCGAAGCCAGTTGCCGGATATCGTTAAGTGTTTGTGGTGCCAAATGATGGGGGACGTAAATTTCGTGAAGGACAGGAGCAGCAATCTCCCGGCAGAAATCGTCCATTTTGGCCATCAGCGCGACCACGTCCAAATCGTCACCTTCCCTCGCCGTATCGCTATCCGACACATCCTCCGCGACCTCTGTTCGGTTGTCTTGAGAGTCGATGAGGAGTTCGAGCGCTTCCAGATAGCTCGCCACAGCTCCGTTCAAATCGCCTACCCTCCGCATCCCCTCCGCTAATGAAATATACCCTCT